GATATATAAATATATTTACACTTATACACAATTAAAATATACAATTTCACAAGGGAAAGAGAAGGGGGAAGGGAAAAAAGGAACAAAACTAAAATAAAATATATAGATATCCCAATTAGTGACACAATATCTAACAACTAAAAGAGTTAGCAAAGAAAATAGCTCACTACTCTCCTGGGACAACCGAGAGTCGCTCCGGAACGATCGCCGGCAACCTCCGTCTGCCAAGGTCGGCAAGGCCCAACCAGGCCTCGCTCCCCAACACGGCAGATCAACAGCAGGGAACCTGCACCTCCAAAGCTGGAAGAAAAGAGCCAAGGCCTCTCCTCCTTTCTTCTTATAATCTGGTTTACGTAAAAATCGTAGGGAATACTGGGTAAATCTGGGCCCTTCCTTGGTTACAAACTGGTCACCAAGGAAGGCCCAGCCCAAACCACCACAGCTTTGTATTCAGGAACTGCCCAGCACCAGCTGGATAGAGAAGGGCCAGACCTTATGTCCCTGCAGGGCTGGGATTCACTCCCTGCCCCAAAGGCCCCCAATGTGTCTGAGGAGCCCTGGGTGGTGCCTGTCCCACAACTGCTGGGAATGGGGACGGGGTCCCTGCACAGGCCCTGTGCTGTCCATGGCAGCTGCTGCACTTGTGCTGCAGAGCCCTGGCACCTCCCCTGGCACTACAGGCCCCTCTTTGGGTACGAAATTCAGGTTCAGCTGCCCTGAATTATGTTCAGCAAGGAAGGGATGTCCAGGAGACAACTGCCATTGTACTCTAAGGATGTGTAGAAAATACCCTGATAAAGAACAGGAGAGAGACCTCCCTCCCTGCATTTGCTCAGCTGAGCACCTCTGTGGGCTGCCCTGGACAGGAGGAACAGTGACAGGTTCCCCTGTCCTACATGTGGGCCCCTTCTGCCACTGAAGTTGGCCAAAGCAATGTCCCAGCAGCCTCCAAGAAGATCCCACAGCTGCTGCCCTGTGCCTAGGAACTGCTCCATTGCAGCCTGCAGTTCCCAGCAGGAATCTCGGTCACCTCTGGCCCCTCAGAAGTGACCAGGGCTTTGTGTCCCAGCAGGTCACTCCTGGCTTTGGTCTTCATTCATTCCCACGGGAGGTGGGACAAGGAGTCTAAGACATTTTAAATAATTGCACGATCCACTTTGTGGTTACAAAGCTGAATTTGACACAACTCTAGCTATATACAGGGTTCAGGGAAGGGGGGACATACATTGTATTCACATTTGAGGTTGAGGGTCCAGGAAGCGCAGGGAGATATTTTTCTTCAAACAGATAAACAGATATTTCTTTATCACAATTACAACAGGAGATGGGGTAAACAAGGTGGTAAAAGGATTTTCGTGGAGACAGCAAGTCTGCTTAATTAAAAGATAGTATAAAAATATCAGGTGGTATATGTAAACAAGCTTTTCTTGTCTGTCTTTAAATTCCATGGTTTCTGGCTAAGATAATTTCTTATCTCTGCAGTGTCATCTGCCCCAACAGGAGTCACCTGCAGGTGCCTGTTTTGGGCCCCCTGAACTGGGGCGGGAGGAATCCCACCCCATGGGGGCTGTGGAGGGAGCTGAGTGTCCTTCTGGCCCCAGGTCTGCAGAGCCACAAGGAGACACCTCTGTTGACTCAGCTGAGTCCCTTCCCTCAGTGGGGGTGAAGGAGATCCCTCCTGGGCACTGTCTGGGTTTCCTGTCTAATGATGGGACATGAAAAGGGGACTCTTGAACTTAACTCAGTGTCTGTTTGGAGAAATGACCCTGCTGAAAGAAGTGTCTGTGCCCAGCTGAGAGAAGGAACATCATTATTTCCTTCAGCTGTGTGCCAGCAGGGTCCCCTGGAGCCCCAGGGACACTTGGAGGGATCCCTGAAGGGCAGAAGTGCTGCCTGGGGCTGTTGCTGTGCTGCTGAGCTGGGCCGGGCTCCTGGCACACAGGGAGCTCCTGGCAAGCTCTGCCCAGGAGCAGCTCCTCTGCACAGCCCAGCAGGGCTGAGGGCACTGCCTGCAGCACCCAGGGCACAGGAGAGAAGGCAGAGAGATGAGAGGCAGCCTGGGCTGGGAGGGGACTGAGCTCTCACTGTGGGAGAAACCTTCACGGGATTTGAATGATTATTTCTCTGGCTGCAGGAAAGTTCAACTTCCCTTCCTGAAGGCATCTCCTAAAGCTGCCACATCCCACAGCTTCTAGGATCTTTCAGCAGGACTCTCCCAGTTGCTGCAGTGCAGGGGAAGTGGCCATATGGCAGAGCAGGGCAGGAGCTGCAGGCAGCAAGGGCAGACAGGAGAAGGGAGCAGGAGGTTCAAGAGATCCTGGGGTGGGAGGACAGGGCAGAGCTGCTCAGGGGAGGAACCTTCCCAGCCCTTTGCCATGATCAGGCTCTGGCTGCAGAGCAGTGCAGATGAGTTCCTGTAAGTGCCTCTCCCAGCTGCCAAATGGCAGCAGTGGCAGGAGCTGCCAGGATGGCTCTGCTGGATTTGCTGGGGTGCAGCAGGAGAAGCTGCTGCAGAGCAGGACTTGCTGCTGCCCCCTCAGAGGCCCAGGGCAAGAAGGTTCCCTGTGCCAGGGCTGGCTGTGGGGTGGGAAGGTGGGGGTGCAGCCAGGGGTGCCCAGGGCTGTGGGGCAGAGCAGGGTCCTGCCCCCAGGGCTCTGTGTGCTGGGGCAGGGACTCTGCTGCCTGCCAGGGTCAGCTCTCAGCCCGGCCAAGGAGCTGCCACGGGGCTGGGGGAGAAGGGGTGGGTGGAAGGAGTGACCCCTCAGGGCAGGGCAGGGCTGGGCAGGGCCCTTCAGCTGCAGGGTCAGGGCTCCTCACAGCTTCAGCTCCACCTCCTGCCATTTCCAGGGGCCCTTCTCAGGAAGCACATCCCCCCAGAACACCTCCCCCTTCCCAGCCACCGCAGGGTCTGGGATCTGCTCTGCAGCCCCTGCCCAGGCAGAGCTGCCCCTGGGCACTGGGCTGGGCATGGCTCTGGCAGCACTGGCAGGGAGCTGAGCTGGGCACAGGGAGGGGCTGCTGGCAGGAACAGCTCCTCACCCAGAGACAGGTAGGCAGGGACAGGGAGCTGCTGCCACAAGTGCTGGGCAGGGGGATGTGGGCCCCTCCCTGCTGTCCCTGTGGCACAGACCCCTTCCCTGAGCAGCTCCTCCCTGGGCTCCTTTCCCAGCCTAAGCAGAGCCTGTGCCCTCAGGCCATGGCCCCTGGGCTGTGCATTGCCCTGCAGCAGCCAGAGCCCAGGCAAGGACAAGGCCCCCATTTCCATCTCTCTCTGTGTGTCCCTCCTCCCTTGGCAGCCGCATTGTGGCATTTCCCTGCCATCCCCTGTTGTCTGGGCTGTTCTTCTTCTCACCATTGGCTTTTCTCAGGCAGTGCAGGGGCTTTGGGGTGGCAGGTTCCTGTCCAGACACAAACCCTTTGCGTGCTGCTGTGGGGATGTGTCTGTGGGAGCAAAATGCCCAAGTGCCCTCCAGGCAACTTCAGGACATTCAGCTGCTTCCCTGGGTGTCCTGCAGGGTGTCCTCCAGAAGGGCACAGCTCTGCCATAGTATCTCTGTGCTGTCTGGGATCCCCATGGAGAGGACACCTCGATGGTAAGAGCCATAAAAATTCTCTGGGCAGCTGCAATGATCCCTCTGTGCAGCAGTCTGGGAGAAGAAAGAGGAGATCCTAATCAGGCACCCTGAGAAAAGACAAGGAGTCTGTCAATCTGCCCTTTGAGCCCAGATTCCTCTGCTCCCAGAAAGGCCCTGTCTCTTTTTAAAGGAGCTCCTTAGTGTGATCCTCCCTCAGCTCCAAGCTGCCAGCGAGGGGCGGCTGAGAACAGGAGTGATGGCCAGCGTAGTTCTTCTCTCTGCACTGAGACCATCCCTTTGCCTCCCAGGACCCACGAGATTTCACTTGGAGAACATCAGAAATGTCAGGGATTTCAGCCATCCAAATTCACTCTGAAATGTGCCAAGTGAAACTGTTACAAAACTACAGCAAATCCCCTCAGCTCTGCTCTGCAGTTGGGCAAACTGTGAACAGCAGGGCTGGAAACGCTTTGATGTGTCACAGGCACATTTAATCTCGGATCACCCCGTGTTCCGAGCTGCCTCTCACAGCAAGGAGGATTCCTCGGGAGCCTGTCACAGGGTCCCTGCTCTCAAAGCCCCCATCAGCCAGCAAAACCCAGAGCTCAGGGGAGGGGGATGCAGAGAGGTCTTCCTAAAAAGAGAGACACATTTTGCCAATAGAGTCTGACCTGACTCAGTCCTGCCTTTTCCTCCTCAACAGAAAACCACACCCTGAGGCAGCCCCAGAGCTGGAGGCAGCACTGCAGGGGGGTCTCAGCTGAGCAGAGCAGAGGGGCAGAACCCCCCTCCCCTGCTGCCCACGCTGTGGGATGAGCCCAGGACACGGGGGGGTTGTGGGCTGTGAGCTCCCATTGCTGGCTCCCATCCTGCTTTTCATCCCCCACTATCCCCATGGCCTTGGATGCAGGGCTGCTCTCCATCCCTTCAGCCCCGAGCCTGGCCCTTGAGATCTGGGGGCATTTGACACCTGCTGGCTCCTTTGATCCCCTTTCCCATCCCTCCCAGAGCACAGGGGAGATCCAGGTGCTCCAGGGGCTGCCCTGTGTGCCCCCTGCCTGTCCCAGCCCCCAGCAGGGACATTCCACGATGCCCCAACCTGCACTGCTCAGGATGCACATGGAGGGGGTGAAGGGGATCTCGTGTGCAGAGACCCCCAGGAGCCCCCTGAGCCTCTCTGCTCATGGCAGGGGAGCGGCCAGAGAGGCACCGGGTGTGCAGGGGCTGGAGAAGGAGGGGACATGGACATGGGAATGCAGGCACGGAGATGGGAACACACCCATGGAGATGGGAACACACCCATGGAGATGGGAACACACCCATGGAGTTGGGAACACACACAGAGAGATGGGAACACACACATGGAGATGGGAACACACCCATGGAGATGGGAACACACACATGAAGTTGGGAACACACACAAGATCAAGCAGAGTAGCTTTGCTGAAGGGATTTATTGATCATTCAGGGGAAATGCCCCTGGGCTCTGAGGGAAATCAGGGGGTTCTTCCAGGGATGATCATCTCCTCATGCCACTGGAGGGGGACAGGGCACGGGTGTCACCACCAGGCCTGAAAGACAGAGCCCCAAACATCACCCCCAAAGTCCACTGCAACATGAGAGGGGCCTTGTCCTGACCCCTCTCCCTGCAGGCACTGCTCACCTCAGCCATCCAGGGATGCAGCCACGCCTTTCTCACCAACAGGACCCACCACCTTCTCCAACACAGGGGGCTGGGGACAAAGACAGGCTCAGAGACACACTGGGTGCAGTGGGATGTATTGGGAGCCTGGGGGAAGAAATGGGATCCTTGGGGAAGGTGCACTGGGGTATACTGGGGCAGACTGGGATGGCCAGAAGTGTCATGGCTTTGTGAGGGGAGGACCCGACTCAGGCAGAACTCCTGGTACCCACCTGAGCCATCTTCAGGATCCCAACGTCCACTAAATCCACCTGGAGAGAGCCCAGGAGCCCTGGCTGGTCACTGGGATGTCCCCGGTGCCAGGTGAGGGATGGGGGGCCCAAAGTGTCCCCCAGTTCCCAGACTGGATGCCCCCCAGTCCCCCCGGCCCACTCACATCCCACAGATCATTTTGGGTTCCTGCCAAGAGTGCCTGGGCAAGGAGAGCAAAGGTTTAAGCAGGATTGGCCCCTGTGGGGCTGGGGGAGGGACACGGGTGTCCCCAGCCCCCCAGCCCAGGGCTGCCCCCGTCTGAGGGGGAAAATCCCTTCTGCTCCCCCTGCTCCCACTGCACCCAGTTTCACCTCCAACCCCTGTGCCTGCAGGGCCCAGGGTGGGGATGGAGACAAGGAGAGCCAGGGGAATTCAGGGCCTGCAGGGAGGGGGGGAGGAGGCTGGGGGGGACCCAAAGATGCTGAACTGGGGGGAACTGGGGAGCCCACGGGACTGGGATTGGGGTGTTGAAGGGGCCCTGTGTGGGATGCAGGGGAGGGGAAAGGAATTCAAGTGTAGGGATGTGGGGACTGCAAGGGAGAGGCTTGGTGGGGACAGGAGGAGGATGATGGAGGAGAACAAAAACGAGGGCACTGGGAGCTGGTTGGGAGTGGAGAGTGAGGCAAGGAATGGACTTGGGAGGTACCAGGGCAGTGGCCTGGGTGAAAGGCAAAGGTCTGAGGAGAAGGATGGAAAGAAAAGCTTTGGGAATGATTAATGGGAGGATATTTGGGGACCCTGGGTAGGACACAGAGCAGATGCTGGGGAGGAGATGCCTGAGGGGACCAAAAAGGATGGGATGGGAGGCCCAAGGGGTGGGATTTGGGAGCACCATTAAAAGAAACAGGTGGGGGCCCTCCCAGCAATTGACAGTGGACCTCCCTTGTCAGGGATGGCTGAATGGCTTCCTGCCGTTGTATCTTTCATTTCTTATCAAAAATCACCCAAATAGTTTTCAAACAGTGCCTGCCAGAGGAGCTTGAAGGCACTCATTCCATCAAAGCCATACCTGTAATTCAGAGGCATAAATAGAGAATGTAGATTTGTCTCTTAAGGTGCTCTCTCATTTCTACTAGAGGTCAATTAGTACCATGTAAAACATGATCATTAAAATTAAAAACTCTTACCCTTCTATTTCCCTTTGAAAAATAATTCTGCTGTTAAAACAATCACTTCTGTTTGATTGTTTAAAATCCAAATGAATGTGTGTACTAGTGGACACAGACAGGGCTCCCTCACAGAGAAGCCCATGAAGTATGGGCTGGATGAGCAGACAGCAGGCTGGTTGAAATCTGCTGGCTGGGGTGGTGATCAGGAGTGCAACATCCAGCTGGAGGCCAGTGATCAGCAATTCCTGGTGAACATCTTCATTGATGATCTGGATGATGGGATATAGTGCTCAAGTTTATTGGAGCTGATGAGTTTACATTCCGACTGCAAGGAACATGTTTTCACATCTGAAGCAGGGGATGGGAAACCAGAGACTCACTGTGAACACCCAATGATTTCCAGAGCCTTTCCAGAGCATTTCATTCCAATCCGGGAATTTTGGATTAAAAAATCACGGTGCTCCTCCATTACTCTGGAAAGGGGACCCTGGTCTGTCGGGAGTGAGGACATTGCTGAATCTGAAAGCTGGAGAAGACAACAAGAAATGTGTGACCCTCCAGAGGATGAAAGCCCTGGATGAAGTTGTCAAGAAGTTCAGACCCAAAGCCTTTCGAGTTTTACGGTTGTGTCTAAACATTTACTGTAGTTTTTCCCTTGTTTGTCCCCTGAAATTGTTTGATGAAAAATCCCCTTGATGTCTGTATCCTTAGACCCCGCTCCCCGATTGGCCAAAGTTTGCTGCATTGCAGTATTTCCTTTTTGGCCACCCTTTCCCTAAAATGGATAAACCCTACCCCCTTTTTCCCTTATCTAGTTACACTTTGCATGCTGGGGTCCCATCTGGGGTGCCAAGAAGAGCTGTGCTTTGGGACCAATTACCTCTGCAGCTGCTCGTATGCCTTCATAGGCTGCTAAGATTTCCTTCTCCACAGGGGTGGAATTGGCCTCAGAACCTCTGTGGCTTCGGCTCCAGAAACCCAGTGGTCGCCCTCACGTCTCACCAGGCACCTTTGGCCAGAGGCTCCAGGAGGGACCTTTATCTCCAGCTGCAGAGTAGAGCACATTCTTTACCTCTGGTCCTGTCCTGACAGCTCCAAGAGCCACGGCATGTGCAATCTCTTGCTTGATCTGCCTGAAAGCTTGTTGTTGTTCAGGACCCCACTGGAAATTGTTCTTTTTACGGGGCACAAAGTAAAGAGGGCTCACCATCTGGCTGTACTCTGGGATGTGCATCCTCCAGAAGCCAATGGCTCCCAGAAAAGCTTGGGTTTCTTTCTTGTTTGTGGGTGGAGCCATTGCTACAATCTTGTGGAGGACGTCTGTTGGTATCTGGTGTCGTCCATTTGCCATTTCAGCCCTAGGAACTGGATCTCTTGGGCAGGGCCCTTGACCTTACTCTTCTTGATGGCAAAACCAGCCTCGAGGAGAATCTGGATGATCTTCTGTCCTTTCTCGAAAACTTCTTCTGCTGTGTCCCCCCACACAATGATGTCATGGATGTACTGGATGGATGGATGGGGGTCACAGCATCTCGGTTCCTCCGATACTGTTGCCTGTGTACAGTTGTCGTGGCCGTTGGCACTTCTTGTCCCCAAAGCTCCAGCGATTCCTTTCGTACAACAAGGGGACCAATGCAGCACCACCTCTCCAATTTTAAGTAGCATTTTCGCTGCCCTCACCACTAGGATCATTGTCACTGAGCAATGTAGGGATGGGTTAGAGCTGATCTTGGAGTCTTTGCTACCAAACCTTGAAGGCCACCATCAAGGAAACTGGCTACTAGGCCATGGATGTCGAAATTAAGGAAAGGAAGCAATTCGTTCCATCCATCTGAACGGTCCCTCACAGGATGTCCTAGGACAGGCACAAAACCAGCAAGAATCAGGAAAAAAATTAGTAAAAAGGCCATTGTTATTATTTTTCTTTCTCCTTCTTCCTAAACAAAGCTATGTTTAGATAAACAAAATCCTTCTTGGCAGCTCTCCCAGGAGTGTCCCAAAACAATGGGGGATGTTTACAAAACAAACCTGCTCTTGGCAGCTTTCCCAGACAATGTTCCCACAACAAAACCAAATGAACCAAAACAATCCCACTTCTGACACCAAAACCATCTGTAGCCGGTTGGAGTTGGCTTCCTGCCAAACCCCACAGACTACAGAAGATTACTACGTGTAAATTTAGGGTAGAACTTAGGTGGGAGGTTCCTGTGCCACAGAGCTCTTGCCCACAGTTTCTCTTGGAAAAGAATGGAGTTCCACAGCTCATTGCTTCCATTTCAACCTTTTTGGGCCTTTGACCACTCTGGAAAATCTGTACCAACCTGATGAGCAGAAGTCTTGGGCTTTACCACAGGTGTCTGGGTGGTGTTCTGAGAGCCAGACTTCTGCTCAGTCCCAAACTGAGGCCAACATGTCCCAGGCCAGGTGAATCCAGAAGTGGACTTGCAGCCAGAACTCCGCTGACAGCGCTGCTTGTGACCACAGATCTGCTTCTGTGGCGCTCCAAAAAGAGCTTGGTGTTGGCCTCTGCAAGTCTCTCAGTAGCTCTGAAACATTCACAAGCACACACAGAGTCATCTTTGGCAGGAAGGCTTTCGCAAAGTTACCCTCCACAGCCTTGGCTACTACTCGACTTCTAAAAGCCAAGGGCATGAAGAGCGTCCAAAACCAGCACATCCTTTGATCTGAGCTTGTTCACAGGGCCTGTTTCTAAGAAATCACACCAAGTGCAAGGAGCAGCCAGTGGCACCTCCAGAAGAACTCTGGGCCACCCTGGCCTTCTCAAGGAAAGCTCAACCCTCAGACCCGCTGCCAAAACAGAAGCCAAGAAAGAGCCGCCTTATTTTGGATTCACAGAATCCAACTCTCTTCTCCCAGAGGCCTCTCCTTATTCAAACAGGAAAGGGCACAAGATTCATCTTCTCTGTCACCCACAGGATGAGGAGAGTTGAGACTGGCAAAAAGACTGCCTGCTAAAACAACCTCAACTTGAAAAGACACCAATAATGCCAGAGTGGTGCTGCTGTGGGGTTACTGCTGGAACTCTAAAGAGAAAGGAAGACAGGTCTGAGGAAGGGAAGGGTCTGAAGGAACTTTCCCCACAAAGATGCCACGTTCTGCTGTCACACCTGATGCTGGCCAGATGCAGAAAAGGGATTTCCAAGGAAAATGCAGGAGGAAAAAGGAGTCTGTTCTTACCAGTCCAAAAAAGTAGGGACTTACCTTTCCAGTTTCTTGGTGAGGCTTTTTCTTCTTTGGGCTTCCACCAGATACAGCTCTTTGTACTTGTCCACTTCTGCCTGGGTGGATTCCTTTTGAAAAGGTCTTTCTGCTTGGTTGCTTTTTGTCCTTCCCAGTGCACGTTCCAGATCTCTAATTCTGTCTTCTAACTGTTTTTTCAGTGACTCCACATGACTGCTTCTGATTTCTTCTAAGGTGTCCTGGTGGGCTGCCTGTGCCTGAAGGAGACAGTGCACCTTCAACCACCACAAGAAAAAGAGAGCTCTGCCCAGCACAAAATTGCACACACCCACTTTCAAGGGCCCAGCCTTACTCAGAGAGGCGGCTCTGCCTCCTCACTCCCAGCAGCAACCAAGGCAGAACCCAGGAGCTGCCAGGGCAAACAATTCTTTGCAGTGGGAAAGAAGCCCAAATGAGCACTCTGCTTCAAAGCTCCTAATGAAGAGACACTGGGTCTGTAGGACAGGGCATGTCCAAAAGGATTCTTCAAAGACAAGAAGAGCACCTCCCACCTCCACCCCCTCCCTCCCATCCCTGGAATTTCAGTGACTCCTTTTCTGAGCACTTTCACCCCCTCCAAGGACAAAGCAGCACCTGTAGGTCTGGCCATGACAGCTGCAAGTTGCCAAACCCATTCAAGGATGAGCAGTGAGAAGCAGAGCAGCGCACAGAGATCCCCCCAAGCACTGCAAAGTGGGAATCTGCCTTGGGCAGCCTTTGCATTCAGGGACCTGCCGCCACATTCCACACCCATGACAGCACTCCTGCCCAACCAGATTGCCTTCTGCCACTGCCTTCAGCAAAGACAGAAGCTAACCCACAGAACACAGGAGCAAAAGAAAAAGCCCAAACACCATGGCCACAAGAGAAGTTTACGTAGCACCTGTGGACACTGGGGAGAAATTCACTTACTTGCAAAAACTCATTGACTTCTTGGAGTTTTTGTCTTATTTCCTGGTCTGCTTGTTCTTCCACCTCTCTTTTACACTGTTCGAGTTGGCTGCGATCCACCACGTTGGTCTCCAAATGATGGTGGAGTTTTGCCAGCTCTTCTTGCAGCTGGCATTTGTCCATGGCCAGGTTCTCGCACTCCCCACGCAGGGTAGACAGCTCTTCTTGCAAAGCCTGATTTTTGGCCTCCAGCTGCGTGCACTGTTCACGTTCCCTGTCCAACTGCTGGGAAAGTTCAGCAACCTGCAGACAGAAAATAAAAAAAGGAACTCAGCGTGGTGTAAAGGCAGTGAATTCCTGGAAAACCTCAAAAGGGGGTGCCCAGGGAGACTTTATTCATCATCTGTTGACTCAGGACTAGACACAAAGTGCAACCAGGCTTTTCTTTTCCAGCAAGAACAGCTTTCCCATCATTTGCCATAGGATTCCTCAGCTTCCCAGCCTTTTGGAGTTCCTCATGCAAAAATGCTCCAAGCTTCTGGACTCCAAAGGAATGACTGCAAAGGCAGGAAGCCATTCTACAGGGATGCCTTCAAACCCAAGCGTGGCTCTGACAGACGCCGCTTTAGCAACGGATCCGAGTGACGAGCGGAGAAGGGATGAGAGGTTCTGTGCCACTGCTGCACAGGCACAGCAGCCTCAAAAGCACTGCTTGGAACAGCCCTTCTGGCTCCCCGCCACAGGATGGGCTGAAACAGCTCCCCGTGAGCAAGAAGGGACAGATTTTCCCCTGGGAGGCCCCTGTCCTCCTTGGGCCCTGGGCAGCAACAACACTGTGGAGAAAAGCCAAACCTCAAGTGCCTCCTGCTCAGCTCGTGCCTGAGACAGGGCTCAGGGGCTGATGGTGCCCTGCCAGTGACAGCGCTGTTCCTCCCCTCTCTGCCAGGGCAGCAATTCATCTGTCACACCCAGAGGACGCTGTCACAGCCTCCCTCCAGCTGCAGCCAGGCCTGAGCTGGGCCCCACTGCTCTCAGCCCAGGGACGTGATGTCCTGCCAGGACGGCAGACCTGCCCATCCCTCAGGCCCAGCCGGGGGATCTGCACTCTTGGCTGACCCCGCTCACTCTCAGGGGACCTGTTCTGCTCTTCTTGCTCAGGGCCTGTGGGACGGCTCCCTGGCCCGGGAGCTCACGCACCCTGCCAGGCTGGCTGCCACTCCTGGCTTGCCCCTCCTCTGCAGGACAGCCTGGCCTCCATCAGCCCTTACACCTACTGCTTTGCCCTCAACATTTGCATCTTTCCCCAGAAGGAGAACTACCCCGGATTAGTTCGAGTCATCTCCCACTGGAACAGCAGGAGGAGCATTAAGAAAAGCCCATCACATCCAAAATGCAGCCAAGGGAATAAAAACATCCACATGACAAGAAATAGAGGGAAAGCATCTCCCAGCTTTCAAAAGAAGGAACACCACAACCAAAGAGCCCCACCCCGAGCACAGCTCACCTCTTTTTGGAATCTATCAACTTCCTTGACCTTTTCAGAATATCTCTTCTTCATTTCTTCCAGCTGGGACTGACTTCCTTTCTCTTCATTAACCCGGAGTTTCCTGCTCTCTGTCCTCAGAAGCTTTTCCAGCCTGCACAGCAAATCAGTGAAGAAAACCATGAAACACAGGAAGAACCAGCCTTTCCCCCACAGTCTCACAGAAACAGCACAGACAGCATCCAAGCCTAGAATGGCTTGGCTTGGCAGGGACATTAAAGATCATCCAGTTCCAAGCCTCCTGCTCTGGGCAGGGACACCTTCCACCAGACCAGCTTGTTCACAACCCCATCCAACCCGGCCTTGAACACTTCCAGCCAAGGGGCATCCACAGCTTCTCTGGGCAACCGGTTGCAGTTCCTCACCACCCTCACAGCAACCAATTTCTTCCCAGGATCAAATCTAAACCTATTCTCTTTCCGTTTGAAGCTATTCCCCCTTGTCCTCTCACTACCTGCTCTTTTAAATGCATTCTCTTCATCCTTCTTGTGGGCTCCCTTCACACCCCAAAAGGCCACAATTAGGTCACCCCAAGGCCTCCTCTTTTCCAGGCTGAAGGGTTGCAATTGTCCCAGCCTTTCCTCCTAGCAGAGGTGCTCCATCTTTCCAAGCACCTTGGTGGCCTCCTCTGGACTCAGTCCAACAGCTGGAGGTCCTTGCTGTGCTGAGGAGCCCAGAGCTGGATGCAACCCTCCAGCTGGGCTCTCCCAAGGGCAGAGCAGAGAGGCAGAATGCCCTCCCTCCACCCGCTGGCCACGCTGCCTTGGACGCAGCCCAGGACACAATTGGCTCTCTGGGCTGCGAGCGCACATCGCCGGCTCATGTCCGGCCTCTCCTCCAGCCCAAGGGCTTCTCGGCAGGGCTGCTCTGCCCCTCTTCATCCCCCAGCCTGCACTGATACAGGGGCTGCCCTGAGCCACGGCCAGCAGCTTGCACTGGCTCTTGGTAAACCATCAGCAGATTGCCATGGACCCACTTCTCCAGCTGGTCCAGGGCCCTCTGGGTGGCATCACCTGTGTCAACCACACCCCTCAGCTTGGTGGCAGCTGCAAATTTGCTGAGGGCACACTCCAGCCCTTCCTCTGGATCATTAGTGAAGACATTAAAGAACACTGGGCCCAATCCAGACCCCTCAGGGACACCACTCGGCACTGATGGCCCTCAGCACTCTGAGCCATTGATCACCACCTCTGCATGGCACTGTTCACCCAATTTCTTATCCATCTAACAGTCCACACATCCAATCCATCTCTCTCCACTTTGGAGAGAAGGATGTTGTGGGGGACTGTGTCAAAGGCTTCCCAGAATGACAGGGAGATGACATGGGTAGCCCTTGTCCACTGAGGCAGTCACTCCATCTTAGAAGGCCACCAGGTTGGTCAAGCAGCACTTGCCCTTGGCGAAGCTGTGCTGGTGCTTCCAATCACCTCCCTGTCATCCATGTGCCTTGACAGAGCTTCTAGAAGGATCTTTTCCATCACCTCCCCAGGCACAGAGGGCAGGCTGACACGTTGGCAGTTCCCAGGGCCCTCCTTTCTACCCCTTCCAAAGATGGGCACAGTGGGTTTCCCTTTTTCCCCTCACCTGGGACTTCCCCTGACTGCCACGACTTTTCAAATATCAAGGAGAGGGTCTTGGCAACTCCATCAGACCCTGTTGGCCAATGGAGGGCAATAATGCTGGCCAGATGGAGAAGATGGATTCCCAAGGAAAATGCAGGAAGAAAAAGGACTCTCTTATTACCACTCCAAACAAGCAAGGACTTACCTTTCCAGTTTCTTGGCCAGGCATCTTCTGGTTTTCACTTCCTCCACATACAGCTCTTTGTACATTTCCATCCCTCCCTGTGTTGCTTCTTTACGAGAAGCTCTCTCTTGTTGGGTGTTTTTGACCCTCTCCAATTCACTTTCCAGATTTTTAATTCTTTCTTCCAACTGGATTCTCATGGATTCACAATGAATGTCTCCAGTTTGTCCTAGTGGGGCCTGGTGGGCTGCCTGTGCCTGAAGGAGACAGTGCACCTTCAACCACCACAAGAAAAAGAGAGCTCTGCCCAGCACAAAATTGCACACACCCACTTTCAAGGGCCCAGCCTGACTCAGAGAGGCGGCTCTGCCTCCTCACTCCCAGCAGCAATCAAGGCAGAACCCAGGAGCTACCAGGGCAAACAATTCTTTGCAGTGGGAAAGAAGCCCAAATGAGCACTCTGCTTCAAAGCTCCTAATGAAGAGCCTGTGGACACTGGGGAGAAATTCACTTACTTGCAAAACGAGGCTGACCTCTTGTAGCTTTGGACTTCTTTCCTGGTCAGCTCCTTCTGCCACCTCTCCTGTACATTGTTCTCTTTGGCTGCAATCCAGCACCAAAGTCTCCAAATGATGGTGGTGTTTTGTCACCTCTTCTTGCAGCTGACGTTTGCTCTTCTCCAGTTGTTCACACTTCCCAAGCAGAGTGGACAGCTCTTCTTGCAAAGCCTGGTTTAGGGCCTCGAGCTGCATGCCTGTTCCAGGCTCCATGTCCAGCTGCTGGGAAAGTTCACCACCCTGTGCACAGAGAAATAAAAGAAAAGAAAACTCAGCGTGATCTAAAGGCAGTGAATTCTGGGAAAACCTCTCAAGGGGGTGGCCATGGCAACTGTATTTATCATCTACTGGAAACGAGCCTAGAAAACACCTGAAAGATTCCCCGACAGAAAGAAGAAACTTTACACCTACTTAAGAATTTGGGAGACACTTCTGGCAACAATACTTCTGGGTCCCTTGGAGCTCAGGATGAAACTCCTCATTTAGAATCTAAGAATTCCTCCAGTGTCCAGCACACCAAATACCCTCAGGGCTTTTGTAGCAGCTGGGGAAAGGACCAGGCTGCTTTCTGAGCAGCCTCTGCTGAGGAGAAGGCAGAAACTGAGCTCCCCAGGCTCTGCAGGAAAACTTCATCTGACAGTTGCCCCACAGAAATAGGCAACTAGGCTCAAGAGTCACAAAAAGGCAAATTTAGGACCAGCTTACTGAGGCAGAGGCTTGCAGGGCTCTCGGAAGGGCTTCAACGCTCTCGCTTGGCTGCTGGACAGTGCCTTCCAATCTGCTGTTCTCACTTGCAAAGCTTAAGAAGAAATACAGCTCTTATGACCAGAAAATCCAATGCCAGACAAACTGTGCTAAGGAACAGAAGCCACAGCAGAAGTGTCCTTCAAAATCCCACTGACTCTCCCCCTGTTTCCACCCAATCCCCAAAGCCACAGACCCCTCGCTTCACTGGGTTCCTCTCTTACTCTTGCGCGTCTTCTTCCAGGAGGTCCTGCAGTTTCTGGGAGGAAGTTATTGCCTCTCTTTTCTTGGCATCCAAGGCACTCTTCAAGTCAGGAACACAATGCTCAGACTGAAGATGCTTTTCTTCCTCCTCCTGCAGCTGTAAAACCACGGGAAGAATCCACAGTTGTCAGGGGAGCTTCTCCAGAGAGGAGCCAGCTGCTGCTGAAGAACTCAGGTGCTGCATGTCTGTGTGCATCCCCTCTACACAAAGAACTGCACTCCATTCAAGTCCCTTCAAAGCTTCACTTCTGCTCCCCAATGAACACACTGAGCACTGTTTTGTCCGTTTTCAGGATGGATAGGAAGCAACAGGCACCCCCAGGTTTCTCCCTGTGGGGACAGGCTTTCCATACCTCCGCGCCAGCCCTGTCCAGCTCCTCCTGCAAGCGCAGATTATCTTCCTCCAGGTGAGCCCCATGGCTTCCAGGAACCACAAGAGCACTCCTAAAGCATGCAAAATTTCATCAGAAACGTGTCTGACCCTGCATCAGTTTTCCCCTGCTTGCTCCCAAAACAGCCCTTTCCTACAAGCTCCGGGAAAGCAAAGCCAAGTCCATGGAAGCACTGGAGAATTTCTCTTACAAGGGGCCTCCCTAAAGCAGCCTCAGCTACCAGCTCAGGCCTTGCTGTTCAGGGCTCCTTGCACTGCTCTTCAAAATCCCCCCTGATGTGGCTGCATAAACTCCCAGGGCAAGCCCTTCGACCCCCTGACCATCTCCATGGCAGGAAGTTTTCTCCTTCTGTGCTCGGAGCCCCTCGTGTCCCCTGGGACAGTGTTGCTTCTCTTTCCCCCAACGCTTCCCTTCAGAGCACTGAACGCCCCAACTCTGCCGTGCCTTAACCCCCCCTGGCCTGCAGAGCAGCCACGCTGCTGAGCTACTGGCAAGTTTCCCCGGGGCTCTGGCTCTGGGTGGGGAGAGGGCACCACAGACAAGGCTTTCTTGCAGACCTCAGCGGGCAAAGGACGAGAGCCCCTGAGGTACGAGAGCAGCCAAGGGCAGACCTGCATTTACCAGTCCCACGGGGAACTGCTTCCACGGGGCTGCTCCTTCTTTTGCCCAGCTCATTGCCACGCCCCTCGTCTGGGTCACACTTGCAGACTACCCAGAACACCCGGGGGCTGTTTTGACAAAGCCCTCACCTTTCCCCCTGGGCTTGAGCAGGCCTGTCAGCTGCTTTGTTCACAAGGCACTCCAGAATCTCCTCGTGCTGTTGCAAGGCTGCAAGTTTCAAGGGGGTAAATCCCCACTAAAAGGAGAAAGAATCCCCATTAGAAAGACACAGACAAGCTCTGCAGCTCTTGGAAAGAGCAGCTTTAGCCACGTGCCAAGGTTACCTGGTTCTGAGCATCACTGTTGGCATGATGCTCCAGTAACAGCCCTGCTACAGCTGTGTTTTTAGAGAGCACAGCCAGGTGAAGGGCAGTGTTGCCGTCAGCGTCTGCCAGATTGGGGTCGGCACCGTGTTCCAGCAGAACAGCAACACATTCTTCCTGCTCCTGCTGGACTGCCTGGCAACAACACACCAAAAGGGAAAGGCTTCCAACTTTTCCATCCCCCTCTCTCACAACTCCCTCAGCTCCTGAGTGCTGCCATAGAAGACCATCTGCAAAGATCAGCTAACAGAGGCTGTGCCCTGCCCATTGCAATAGGCGTGTTTCTATGGCCCTGCCCTGCAAGGAATCCTGCCAGACACCTCCCCTTTAACACCCCAGCACTAAGCCCCACCTCCAAGCTCAGAAGGCATTGCACACACCTTCATCAGGGCCGTTCTCTTGAAGCTGTCAGCGAGGTTGGGCTGGCTGTTCTTTCTTAGCAGATATCTGACGACATCTGCATGGCCATTGGCTGAAGCCAGATGCAGAGGTGTCCTAAAAATTAAACAGATGCTCTTAACCCAGACAGACAAAGGACGAGCCCAAGCTGTGTCTGTACCCAGCACCCTGGGGACCCTGCCCGGACTCTGCTGCTGCTGCTGCTGCTGCTGCTGCTGCTGCTGCTGCTGCAACCCTGCCCTGATGAGCCAGAGGGCAGAAGAGAACAGGTGAGGGCTGAGCAGCTGCAGAACAGCCCTGCAGAGAGAGCACGGCCAAGGGGCAGGTGGGCAAGACGCGTTTGCAGCAGCGCTGGAGCCCGGCCGGCAGCTCTGAGCAGTGAAAAGCTCAAGAGTTCCCTGTCCCAGCTGACAGGGCAAATGTCACTTTTCAAGCCTTGTCCCTAAGAGAGGGCTGCCGAGGACTACTGCAGCTTGGCTCAGGAACAGCCAAGGTGTGCCATCAGCGTGGCCCAGAACTCACCGCATCTCCTGGTCTGGCCTGTCGATGCCGACTACCTTGACGTACCAGCGCCAGCGCCTCAGCCAGCCCAGGTCACCGCGGGCGGCCGCGCGGTGCAGCCTGCCCAGCCCCTGCTCCCGGAGCTGGGAGGCGCTGCTGGAGCTGGTGGCAGCCCAGGGCTGCCCACTGGGGCTGCTGGAGGGCGACTGCCGTCGCTTCTTGCTCAGAAGCCACGGCATGGCCCTGCTTGGAGCTCCCAGCAGCAGGAAGGGCAAGAAGGCCCCGGCGGGCTGCCGGGAGCCAAGTGGGGATGAGGAATGGGACGGGGCGAGGTTTAGGGGGAGGGTGACAAAAGGGGACGAGAAGAAGGACGGGCAGAGGGTATGAAGCACAAGGCAGACGAGGTCGCCCTGCGCAGTGGTCGTGGCCTGCAGCTGCCAAGACGGCGATGCAGGCGCGCAATGCTCCCCGAGCGGGATGTGCTGCTGCTCCCCGAGAGGCTCCAGCAGCTCTGAGCGCCGGCTGCGGGCACCAACAAAGCCGTGCCCGACTGGCGCCTGTGGCGTCACAATGGCTGGTGGAAGGCTCAGCACGTCAGCGTGGGGTGTGACAGAGGCCACGGGGCAGGGTGGGGCCGGGTGGGACAGGGCAGGGCGGGGCAGGTGTGAGGGCGGCCCTGCTGGGCCTTGTGGGAAGGAGGCGGCCTGGGCCTTGTGAGGGCGGCCGGCGGGAGTGGGCACTGCCCCGCCTCAGGGCGCCCCGGGGCAGGGCCCGGGACGCTCCCACCGGGCTGCAGGCTGCGGTAGGCGCTGGAGCAGCTCCCGCATCACCCGCTCTGGCTTTTTGCTTCAGCCTGGAGCCGGGCTGCCTCTGGACACACTGCCATCAAATGAGGCTCAGGAGGAAGTGGGGCCACCACAGCTCTCAAGAAATGCCCACCCAGCGCTCCAAGCCTGCCAGGCCAGAGTTCCAGGACAATTCCCCAACTCCTTTGTCTTGTCCCTCTTGAAGAGCAGACACCTCACCCCCTCTCCCCCTCACAATTGCTCTCTCCTGCTGCTTTGCCAGATGCCAACAGTGAATTTCTGCTCTGCTCCTCCCACCAGACAACACCACACAGGCAGAGGGACACACAGCAGGGCAGGACAGGATCAGGGATTTGCCTTTACCAGGAACCCACTATCTCTGCCCAGAACACAAAGAGGAGGGCTCGAAAGCACTGCAAGAGTCTGGCAACTGAGTAGCAGCAATAGCTCACCTGGAGGCCATGATCTTAACACCACTGTGCTTCAAGCCTTCCCGGAGGAAGGCACACATTTGCCTGGCCTCTGGGACAGGCTGAAGATGCAGCTGTGAGCAGAGCTGAAGGGAGCAGAGGACAGCTCTTCAGCCTTCAGGCCTGGCTTCTCTTTCAGCCTTGAAGATGTCTGCTGGACTGATTTGCACTCAGAGCAAGGGCAGAGAGAGAAGTCTTAACTCCCGGCCCGGGAAGAAAGCCTTAAGACGCCTTCAAAAATATGACTCTCCTCATCCCTCCCACCTAGGCCCAAAGAGCTCCAATTCTGTCACCAAACGCAGCAGTTCTCCTCAAATGTCGGGACAGTTGTGGCGGCCAAGCCCTTTCTGCCAAAGTTGGACAGGTCCCCACCTGTCCCAAAGGCAAGCAGAGGGAAGAAGAGGGGACAGCCTTGGGATGGGGGAATGGGAGAAGCAAAGCCAGCAGGGGGAACAGAAGAAAACGAGGACACATCCTGGAGTCTTGATGGCGACTGCCGTTGGTTCTGGCGGAGGAGCCCCTCTATGCTGTGTGTGCTTTGGCACAGGCTGCACTGTGGGTATGGCCCTGCTCTGCTGGTGGCCACTGCTCACCCTCTGCACAGAATCACGGAAGGACTAAGGTGCTCTAGTCCAAGGCCTGTTCTGGAACAGGGTTTCCTAGAGACAGTTGTCCTGATCCCTGAAGGTTAGGAAAAGCCAGGAAAGACATAGGCAAAGAAGACATTCAGTATTTCTGCTTTTTTCCTCTCCTGTGGAACAAGCTGCCCCATCTTGTTGAGAGATGGGCCCACATTTTCCCTGCTTTTCCTTTTGTCACCTACAGACTTAAAGAAGTCCTTCCTGTTGTCTCTGACATCACTGGCCTGATTCAGTTCCATTTGGGCTTTGGCTTTACCAATTTCATCCCTGCATGCCCAGATAACATTTCTGTTTTCTTTCTTTGCGTCCACTCTCTGTAAGCTTCCTTTTTGTGTTTGAACAACAAGCTCCTTGTCAAGCCATCCATGTAGGCCTCCTGGAATTTCTGCCTGATTTCCTGCTTTTTAGGATGAAACTCTCTTGAGCTTGATGGAAGTGATCCTTGAATATTAACCAGCTCTTTTGTGTCACTGTACTTTGCAAGGTGTTGCAAAGGCTGTTAAACCCAACAAGTATGGAAAGGGGGTTTCGATGAGAAGAAAATTAGTAGGTGCAAAACCAGGATGACAGTTAGTAGGATGATTAGTAGGATCAAACCCAGGATGAATGGGCTCTGCTGTAGCACTGCGCCAGATTCAAGGAAATTTACCAGTAACACAGTTCCCTGTGGCACAGCTGCTGGGATGTGGAGCACAAGTCCTCACTGCTGTGTTCACTTATGAGCCTTGCAGTCATTCAGCCCCCAAGGACAGCTCCGTTTGTGTTCACAGAGATCCAATGACAGTAAGAATCCCTGCCCAGCCTGGTGTTCAAAGGAGATGACAGTGTAGAGATGGGAGAAATACACTGGGGGATTTGTTCCCCAGTGTAATGGGTTTACTTGTTCTAAAAAACCGAACGGGAATTTTCTTTCTGCCTTGGGTGATTACCTACCCAAAGGAGCTGGCTGGCAGAACTACATTCCAGCCTGACAGCTCTCTCTGGGGCTGGGGGGGGGAGCATGGGGAGTTTTTTCTCCCCTCCTCTCCTTGGAAAGTGGCACTTCACTTTCTGCCTTAACGGAGGCAAGGGGTGTGTGTGTGGGAAAAAGCTCTGAGGCCGTTTTGCTCTCGACCTGGTCATCTGGCTGCTCTCCGGCCTCGTTTGCCTGCACGCTGCTCTGTCTCCAGCCCCAATCTGCTCAGATTCCATCGGAGAGTTTTGTGCTCACGGACGAAAAAAGGGGAGTCCTGACCACAGCCAGGCACAGACAGCGTGAGTTTAGTGGGAAAGAAACCGCCCTTCTTTCCCCTTTTCCCCTTCCCGTCCTGGGGGGGGAAAATCTCCATTTTTGGCTTTTGCTGCGATCTGGGGCCCAACAGCGCCCCCTGCTGGCCAACACCGAGCACTGCAGGCCCCGCCCCTCCAGGGATCCAACAGCGCCCCCTGCTGGCCAATACCGAGCACTGCAGGCCCCGCCCCTTAGAGATCCAACAGTGCCCCCTGCTGGCCAACACCGAGCACTGCAGGCCCCGCCCCTCCAGGGATCCAATAGCGCCCCCTGCTGGCCAGCACCCAGCACTGCAGGCCCCGCCCCTCCAGGGATCCAACAGCGCCCCCTGCTGGCAGCACCCAGCACTGCAGGCCCCGCCCCTCCAGGGATCCAGCGTGAGTTTAGTGGGAAAGAAACCGCCCTTCTTTCCCCTTTTCCCCTTCCCGTCCTGGGGGGGGAAAATCTCCATTTTTGGCTTTTGCTGCGATCTGGGGCCCAACAGCGCCCCCTGCTGGCCAACACCGAGCACTGCAGGCCCCGCCCCTCCAGGGATCCAACAGCGCCCCCTGCTGGCCAATACCGAGCACTGCAGGCCCCGCCCCTTAGAGATCCAACAGTGCCCCCTGCTGGCCAACACCGAGCACTGCAGGCCCCGCCCACCCCCCCCCAGGGAGCCACAGCGACAGCGCCCCCCTGCGGGCCACACCGAGCACTGCTGGCCCCGCCCCTGAGATCCAACAGCGCCCCTGCTGGCCAACCCCAGCCTGCAGGCCCCCGCCCCTCCAGGGATCCAATAGCGCCCCCTGCTGGCCAACACCCAGCACTGCAGGCCCCGCCCCTCCAGGGATCCAATAGCGCCCCCTGCTGGCCAACACCCAGCACTGCAGGCCCCGCCCCTCCAGGGATCCAACAGCTCCTGCCAACCGGGATTGGAATTGCGCCAGAGCACAGGGAAGTATCAATCTGTTTCCCTTTTTGGAAGGGGAGTTTTTGGGCACAGGATTATTGTTTAGTTGGTTTTGTGTTCTTTTGCTGGTTTTGCCAATACACAAATATCCTTTAATAAAGGGCTGTTATCTCTTCCTTTTTTCCATACTTCCTCAATTGGAGCCTCTTAATTTGGATTTACAATTGCTGAGAGAGAGGAGTTTGGTCTACTTCATCACTCATCCTCCTTAGCAAAACATTCCAGTCTATTTACACTCAGACAGGAGGGTAGTGGAGTGGTTTGAACAGGCCCCTGGTATCTGGCCAGGGTCAAACCACGACACAAGGGGAACCAGGAGGATGTGGAGACCCTGTCACGGGAGAGTGGAAGGCTCGAACAAAGTTTTAAAAAGCAAAGCCTTGCCAGAGAGTCTGGAGGTGCAGGAAGGACTCCCTGGCTTTCTGAACTCCTTCCCAGGGAAGGGTCTGGGTGCAGCTCAATCCTCTCTTAGCCCTGGACTGTGTTTGAATTTAAAGGAATTACAGAGCTCTTAAACCACTTTGTCCCACAGGTTTTAATGATGGCAAAACAAGAATATTTATATAAAATGAATGATGTACTTTATACAAATGATCAGACAAAAACCCTTAATCAGAACTATTTACTGCACAACAGAAACACTAAAACAATATAAACACTAAAAGTCTACTCGTAGAGTCTAATATAGCATAAAGCAGTACAGGGCACTGGAACAAAGCATTTATTGAAGCAGTTCTATTAAAGCTGGAAAACAGAAATAATTATTGAGATCTGATGTAACTCACCCAGACCAATGCCTGTGGGGAGATCTTCCTCTCAGCCTCAAGGAGTGACCTTGGAGGGCGTCCCCAGCCAAAGGAGGAATCTCCACACACCCCCCAGGGAGGGTTTTGTCAGAAAGAACCCGACTGCATGAGAGGGGACTGGACTTTTTATAGGATAAAGTGATTGAGTGCCAGGCCCACCTTTCCAGGCCAGCTCTCAGCTTATCTGTCAACTCAGACTTCAACCAGCAGGGTGTGTGTTCAACGCTGGACCAACCAGGATGGTTTGAGCAGAGTTAACACCAAGACAACAGCCTGGCTCCAGCAGTTGATCTTGCATGACAGCTTGATTATGAGCTTGATTGGACCTTGGGTCTGGCCAGGCTGGGACTGTCCTGCCACAGTCCACCAGCCAGGGGTCTTCCCAATGTGGGTCACTGGGACTGTGGGTCACCAAGCCTGTTCCCAAGGTGTGTCCTCCAACAGGTGATGGAGT